TGCAATCAATTTCATACTGGACATTAAGCAGTACGCTCTGTTTCCCACTCTACCTTCGTAGTTCTCCTCGTTTCGTACCGTATTCATGTGCAATATGGTTCACAATCTAGTAATGGATTCATATTATTGTGATGAAACGATTCAAATGTTTCTTATTCTTTTACGCTGAGTAATACCAATTTTAGATATTGGGTTGTGCTCTTTAGTGATCCTTCTGGCAAATATTTCAGGCACCACGAAACATTGACGAAATCATAAATTCTGACAGGCAAATCCTTCTTAACGACACGTAGCAAGTCGTATTATACCATAAAACATAGCAATGTCAACACTTGTGGCCTTCCTCTTCGTAGGGACGCTTTGGGGATGTACAAATCCCTTCATTAAACGAGGTGATAATAATTGTACCAGCTCTGGAGTTCATCAGGATACAAACTCGGATAAAGCTAGAATACTAATGAATGGTTGGTGTCAGGTACAAATGACAACGTCATGTATACTCGAAAGGACAATAGCATTGGAGAATTCATCAACCAATTTGTTGGACTGGTGAAAAACTGGCAGGTACAGGAAAGCTAATGAATTACTCGATTCTACATGAAGCTTGATCTATAACCGCTGATGATGTTAAATACTGCAGTTTTTACTGCCATTTGCGATGAATCAGAGTGGTTCGGTATTCTACGTCTACCTTCTCAGCTCAGCCGGTACGATGTCTTTACAAATCGTGCGGCGCTGTAGCGTTTTGCTGCAATGTCTTGTGATGCGATTTTACAAATATAATCATATTGAATACCTTGAATTGACATTTTGTTGCTATTGATGTAGACATTTCAAATGCTGTACCCATTTGCAACTCGCTAACGTTCATTTTTACAGCTATAACAAGTCGTCTTCTCGGAGAAAAGCTCCAACGTCCTGCTTGTACGTACTAAAAAACAATCGCTTTGCTGCGTGGCTATTGTATCCATGCATTCTTTTGGCGAGTACAACTTGAATCTTATATTTTATATCGTATCATGGCAACATAATGCATTGTTGACCTTAGCAACATACACAGGCATGCTGCTCATTCTCGCCGGTGTGGCCATTTGCTTTAACAGCAAATAAGCATCATCACAAATGCCTTAACATGTGATTTAAAGTACAATTGTGATACAAATTTGGTTGTGATGAGGTAATATCAGCATTGAAAGTTTGCGCTACAATAAAAACACGGAAAGCTTCTCAGATGAAAATGATTGCGACTGCGTCCGTGGAGGTTTATTGCCTCCTCTTGACTAATATTTTTTTAGCTGCATTTGGTTGTTACGAAACGTAGCACGCAGCTGATGAGGAAGATAATGGTCAATGTCATTATCGCGACCGACTGCCCATGTCGACAAAGCACAGCGCTAATTGTGTTACAAACCACAACGTACAATATCGGTGCTGCTGTAATCAAATGAAGTATGGCACGGTTACGTGTTTATATCTGCAGCCATGTTTCACATTGACGAATAACGTATGTTTGAAGTTGAATAATCCTGCTGAAACGGTATATAGATAAGCGTGCAGATGACGTCAGGTCAACAACTTGGTTCGGATATCAACGAAGCCAGATAATACAAAGCTCAAAGGATACGATGTCAATCAATACCGTTCCTAAGCAAAACGCTTTCAATGTTACATTACTATACTGTCTCTTTCGCTCTATCATGTAGCCCTGCGTGACAGGCTTGGCAGCCGCTGCTAATTTAGCGCTACACCATGTAGATGGAATTATTTGCCACTTTGCGCTTCAAAGGTCAATATACTGTGTACTACTTGTATGAAACAAGTTGTCGATCAGAGGGTGTCAAACTCGTGTTGAGACGCATTGAATCCAAGGCATAGTCTCCGGTCCTTATGGCTAGCCGTATCGCCTATAGAGCGAAATGCACGAGACTGCTGCAACTTGCTGGACGGAGAAGCCTTTTTAGTCGTGTATGCTGCTTCATGGCGTCGACATATTTGCTGATCGAGTTGAAGTGCGAGAAACTTATTCGATAAACTAAACTTTTACTTGTGTTGCAAGTTTGCATGCACAATAATACTCAACATCAGCCACTTTTCTATTACTCGTATCAAATTTGAAAGATGCAAGTAGCTCGCTTTGGTCACTTTGTGTATCCAGTCGCTCGACGAGCGTCAAGCTTTTGTTACACGTTTAGTGAGTTCCCGGAACGTGATAAGGATCGCAAACTGCATGGAACATCTTGCAGCGAAAGCTTGAGTATCGTTGCAATCGAGCTTATTTGGGGAAGCATGCTTTTAGCTCTAATTAAGCAAGTTGTGCCAACGAATAAAGTAGGCTGTAACGATATGTCAGGATGAATTTATATGTGGCGACGTTGAAGTTGCCTATTGTGAGGCCGCAGTCGAACAGTAACCTTTGAAACATGTGATCTGTATTTGAGTTTGGGAGTCAGGGTCCGGCTGACATTTTGGAAACCGAGACGTGCTTTTGTGTGTATTTCTTCTAGTAAAACCTCAGCCTTGATACCAGCGTCCTGCTGCTTCTGTCGTCTATCAAGATAGAGTGTCCAAGAAACAGGCTACTTGCCCTTCGGTGACCCACTATCTATGGTGCATGCATGACGTATCATTCTGTTCATGTACGTTTCATATCAAACAAACCTCATAACGAACTCATCAGATTTGTACAGCACAAATACTGACACATGAACGTTTATATTTTTGTTTATTGGTCGCGCGCAAAGGAGCAGCCTAAAGATGCAAATTGACAGCTTTACAAGCTTATGTAGACGCTGCAAATTGACAGCTTCACAAGTTTGAGAAGTTTAACTTGTTAGTATGTGATCGCGCGTAACAATCAGGGTTTCCCCAGATTGGAGCAACCGCGTCGAGCTCTTTCCCCAAGCGGCCACTTAGACCAATGAGTCTGTAGCCCGTAGGTGCTGGATAGTGACGAAGTCCTGCGTTCATTGTGGTACCAGCCGTTAAATTGCGACCATTGGAGGTATAGTAGTTTACGTAGGTAACACTATCGCGGTTTTTATGCTCAAATCTGCCAACAATCATAGCCTCGACGTACTCGTCTTCTTTAAGAACAGTTGACGTGTTTCTACCGCCCGGACCAGAGCGATACAAGGTGATCCGTCCCTTTCCCGGAATATCAACCACGAGGCCGATGCCGTCAATGCGATTACCACTGGTGGTAATAAGCTCAACGACTCTTGTATCGGGCGTAACTATGTCAAAGCCCGTTATCGTATTGCCGCCATCACCGCCGAAAGGGGTCTTCACATCTTTACACGGGTCATTTTTACTAGCAACAATGCCTGCGACAACCGCCAACGCTGCGCCAACCTGGAAGAACAATCGCACCATTTCACCCTTCGTCAGACTGTTTTTGACCGTATTAATGAGACTTGGAGTTGTAGACCGCGAATTTGACAATGAGCATGTAGAGAAATACCTGGGCCAGGCTTGGTAGCACTGCTCTGTACATTATGTTCGCTCCAACTTTACGGATGACCACCGAAGTGGTTTCTATACTATACAATATGTTGGTACCATTCAATTACGACAGATACAATCAAACGATTGCATTATGATGTACCATGTAGACAAAATCCGACTGGCTTTTATATATCACCATTGAAAGATTATCCCATGCTGTGTTAACAGCATGCTTACGTGCTGTAAGAAAAGGCTACAAACTAACGAAGGGCCTTGCATATGGCAGGGCAGATCGTTCGAGTCAAACACACTTTGAAGTAGACGAGTATAAAGAGTGCCAGACACATAAAAGGGTTAGTTATGTGAAGACGCAACGTTTCCCGCACAAGCAGATAACGGGGTGTACCTTCTGGTAGGATGGCCGAAAAGACGACGGGAATCCAATTCTGGTCTTAGCAAGTCGATAATGATACAAATAACACAAAGTGTAATTCAGTATAAAGCTGTATTGGACATGATTATTATAGTGAGAGAAACGATTGTAATAGTCTCCATGACCACACACAACTGCTACGCTATTAATGGAAGGTAAAAAACACAAGGATGCTTACAAATCATAGGGTCTTGAAGAAGCCAAGTCAAGCGTTAAACTCGCATATAGTTCAGTACCTGTAGTGGGTACACAATATGCTACGTATCAATGAATTGACTACCCCCGTACACTCAACTAACTGCAGATAGGTACTAAACAGCGTGTTGTAGATAAAATATGATCCAAGCAAATTTGAAACGAGCAAACGTTTCGGTTTCGGAAGACTGACTGTAATGCTTTGTGGTGTATCCTTCGGAGACAACAAAGGCGCGGATGCAGACACTACAAGCGAAACTCCAAAACTTAGCAGGGGTCTTTTGACTGCTCAAAAGAAGAATTTGGAGAAACGAGGTCGTGTCAACCAATGCACCAGCAGAGCATGGCCTCAATTTGTTTTGGTCGGTCTTGACACACCTGTGTAATTTATTTTCGGGATTCAAACAGAGATTGCTCTATTTTTGCCTCGCAGTTTTTTTCTGCCAACTCTTTTTGTTGTTATGATGGTGATCATCGTGACAATCGGCTCTTCGGTTCACCATGTCTTGCTCGCTGCCAACAACCAGACCCTGCGAGATTTTTCGTATCGGTATACCTGCATCATCAGTAGCAGTGACGATAGCAGTATAAGGGCAACAAGGCGGGTTTGTATAGTAGCAAGGTCAGCTTGTAGGCAACATACGTTAATGTAAGAAAAAATAGTAAAACATAAATTACGCAACGCGCAGGCCCGCACGCCTTGTCATTCGACCTAATGTAACTAAAATGATTGGATCACATTCAAGTGCAAGCTGGTACAATGAGCACACAAGTTGTTATTTGTTTGCAGCAGCTGGCCCGGACAGACAGCTTGGCATCAAATTTGCAATTCGGATTTTGTGGCTGTAGGACACTATCAGTACTATGATACGAAAGCCTAATTCTCCTCGACATCAGCAGCATCAGTGTACTAGCTAGATCATAAAAAAATTCGAATGATTGATACAAATTTAAAACCTTTTAGAAAAGATAGCCTTCAGCAAAAGGCTGGGCGCCGCGATGGTTCAAATGACTGCATTCAATAGTAGTCCTTCTTCGTTAGGTTTTCATTAAAATCTGCTTCCACCTGCGTTTCCATATGAAATGCATCATTGACGAACCGCGATCTATCTGAACGCTTACATTACAGCGTAGCCAAGTCCTTCGTCTGGACAGTGTCAAGGCTAAGTCCGTCGTCGTAGTGTTTTTGTGTGTAAAATCCTAAGCAACAAACTCGCATTACAACTCCCGTACCTTGACTTGCTCAACCATTAATTAGTCTTACAAGTTACTAATGCACACCAAATGTCGTCTAGAAACTGTGTTTTAATCAATAGAAGTCTCACACTGATCAGCGTTTCGACTTGTTGTTATAACTGATTAAAATGCGTTGGGCTACGTACGTATTGCAAGAAGCGATTTTTAAGAGTCTTTAAAATGACACCTTTTTGGCAGATTTGTGCTCAAATACTGACGACATACCGGTATCAACACAACGTTTTCTAGCCGTGAAAACCCAAAAAAATAATACGCTTTAGGCACTCGATGGCAAGCTTCACAAAGAAGCGCGTGTCATATTTCTACCATCGTACGTTTGTTGAGGTCTCTTCCTGTGCTGGTTTTCCTCTTAACCTGTTACTTGTATTTGTTTTGCTATAGCCGAGGAAGGGCACTTTTACTATGGCCCTGGTCACCCAATGAAGCCGCACCGCATGAAACTAGCTCACCATTTGGTGGTGAATTATGATTTGTACCGCAAAATGGACATTTTTGTATGTAATAAGTATGCTTTGTGTTTGTATGCTTGAACTTGAACATACAATCTTGCAGTAACTAGTAATTAGCTGGATTGCTGATCAAATCGGCTTTAATCTACCATCGTACTTCATTTGTAGGAGCCACATATTGCTTCGGCCGAGGAGATTAAGAATTTTCACGCGCCAGACTACATTGACTTTTTGCAGCGAATCAGCCCCAACAATCAGAAAGACTTGGCCCCGGAACTACAGAAATGTACGTGGTTGGTTGAATAAGTCCTGGCTGAACAGGTTGTTTCTAAAACTGTGTGGTGCTGGGGTTTCTTCAGTCAACTTGGGTGAATTGACGGACTGCCCGGTGTTCGACGGCATTTTTGACTTTTGTCAGATTTATTCGGGAGGCACGTTAGATGCTGTAAGTCGACTGAATCACGGACAATGTGACATTGCCATCAATTGGGCAGGGGGTCTGCACCACGCCAAAAAGTCGGAAGGATCAGGATTCTGTTACGTAAACGACATTGTGCTGGGTATTTTGGAACTGCTAAAATACCACCCGCGCGTTCTTTACATTGATATTGATGTGCACCATGGTGACGGCGTTGAAGAAGCTTTCTACGTGACAGACCGGGTGATGACTGTATCGTTTCACAAGTACGGAGACTTTTTTCCTGGCACAGGCGATATTAAGGTTTTATAGTGATTGGTATTGTAGTTTTTGTGCTTGTTGCGCGTTAATGTTTATCATGGCTGTCTGTTACCAGGATATCGGCACCAAAAACGGCAAATATTACGCTGTTAATTTCCCGTTGCTGAGCGGCATGGACGATGCAAGTTACGAAAGCGTTTTTAAACCGGTGATTCAAAAGGTGATGGAAACGTTTGCTCCGTCAGCTGTAGTGTTGCAGTGCGGTGCAGACTCGCTCACGGGAGACCGTCTTGGATGCTTTAATGTTACTACACGAGGTACTCTTATCGACTTTGTAGGACAGACGATGTGGTATATGTTTTAGTAGTGATTTTACTTTTCCCGATATCATTTTAGGGCACGGGGAATGCGTGAGATTTGTGAAAAGTTTTGGTTTGCCCTTACTAGTGCTTGGAGGTGGTGGGTACACCATCCGAAATGTTTTGAGAGCATGGGCATACGAGACATCGATTTTGCTGGATGAAGAAGTGTCGAACAATATTCCATACAACGACTACTTTGAGTTCTACGCCCCAAACTTCAAGCTGCATTTGGAGCCGGATTTGGAACTTGAAAATGCTAATTCGAGGGAGTATCTAGAAGAATGCAAGTACGTCAACGTCTTGGTTTATTTGAAACTGTGTCACACAACTAACACACAGACATGCATGCTTACTAGGAATAAAATTTTTGAGAATCTTCGAGCTTTGACTGGGGCGCCAAGCATTCAAATGAGTCGAGCGCCTCCGACGTACATGCTGCGTGAAGAAGATGAAGACGCAGCGGACCCGGACTTGCGTACGGACAACGACGGAAAACGACATCACGAGGCCGAGTTCTATCAAGACGACAAGGATCAGCAAGGAAACGACGATGCTAATGCTGGAAATAGCAGTATAGCAGCAATTTGTCTTCACCAGGATAGAGAAGCGGACAATGCAGCTCCAGATGTTATTCCCATGGATGTGGACTAGGCTGCTTTGGGAAAAATACTTTTGTTTGATGCATTCTTTCTCTGCATTTGTGCAATGATGACAATGGATTGATTTTCACTGCAACTTCTCCATGTGGCGATGCGTGGCGATGCATCTTGCTTGTTTCTTGTTGCTCAACTCGTGGTGCTGCCGAGCTCAGCTTCTAAAGCTCAAGGGCCCGAGATCAAGCTGCTGTAAAACCTCTTGCTTCTCGATGTGACACATGGCCATGCACGCACAACACATAGCTGAAATCACTTTTTGTCCTAATGTTCTAGGTCTCTCTCTCTTTAGTACATTCCTTCTCATTGACATTGTCCCACTCAAGCAACGACCTTTCTATCTTCGACACGCTTTTCATTCGGCAACTATAATATGTCCAAGCCTGCTTTCCTATCGCAGCTCTCACAGCATGCACCTTGTGCTTGTTATACTCCCACGCCAGTAACACCCTCCCCATTTTAGGAGAGGGATGCTGGAAGCTGGCTTTGAAAACTTGTACACTCCGCGTATTTTGCCCGTTTTACTCAAATTGATATGCGATTCGTCTTGCAAGCAATATTCTTGTCGCTTCCTGCTGCACGTTAGCGTACGTAAAGTCTCGAAGCACCCGGATGCACTGTGTTAGTTAAAAACTATTATCAGTATAGTCGGTAGGTGCCCGGTTACAATCGAGGCGCGATGGCGAGCAAGCCTATACACCTCAACAGGTTTTGCCAGCCAGACCAGTACAATGCAGTCACAAGCTGGTATGCACCGTACTTATTGCCCTTGTAAAAGAATATTCATCAGCATTTTGGTCTTGGCCTTCACACGGTGTACAGTGTGCGTCTGGATGTAGACCGTTCTATGGCGTTCACACGTGTCGCTATTGCTGCATCTCTTTTGTGATTAAAAGGCTTGTAGCTAGTACAACATTTCTAGAAGTTTTCAATAGCTATCCGACTTCGTGGCATTATGTCACGAATGCAAACTAGCACAGCAAAGCTTTTGTTATAGCACCAAATTCAAATTATATGTTAGAACCTATTGGTTTTGACAAGTCAAGTCATGTGCAAGCTCAACGTCAAGACCTGTTATACATAAGATCGCCCACATTTGATTGACTGACAAAGACCGTCACTACTAAGTAAGACCAAGGGATCTATCAACACGTGGGTTGTGACGCATGATGGGATGCAAGACAGATGTGCAAGTTGCAGTGCTATCGCATACCCATCACATATGCATGTCATTGATTGGCACAAGGCGTAGTGAGAATGGAAAATATCCTACTTATAATTCTACCTACTGTGCAGCAAGTGCACTTGCACATTCCAACATTCCATCGTTCAAGAACTGGCGGTAACAAAGTATGCGTTTTGAATGAACTAGACCCGCGGTAACACCGGAAAGAGCAAAACGACCACGGATAGACAAGCCGGCCTGCAAGGCGTATAGCAAACTGTAACGCCTCATCGGGTGCAAATATTAGCTTCATATTGGCAGCTATCGTATCTCGACAACAGTGAGGCAGTGCGACTAGGCGGCTGAACTACTATAAACAGGCTGAGGCACCGTAATTTCGATGTCACTGTCGGTATTGACTGCCATCCTCATTCGCAGACGCATACGACCGGTATGATCACATCTTATCACCATTTATAACTCGATCAAGTTGCTCATCCTACATCACTCCGATCATTTCATTTTAGAGAAGCAACTACGCTTGGTTACTGATAAATATCTTAGCACGGAGATTACTCGACGCTGCTTGTTGCTACAAATGGTCGTATTTATGACATCGATGTTCTTACATTTCCCTAACGAGCTCAAAATAGACTTGAAGACGGAAGACATAAATGCACGTATCATGAAGCTCTCTGGGCTGTTCGGCAAGATTGTGAAATTCATGAATAAATTAGCACTTTGGTTCATGGAAGCAACGACAACCTCACGTTCGTAGAGTGCATGAAGCTGCGCTGCAAGATGCTGCTTGAAAAATTACACCCAAAGTGCCTAGACTATAAAAAAGGTCGAAGAGAGTGTACCCAAGAGCAACAACGCTTCAACATGCTAGTGCAGGAGCTAAAGAAATGGTATTGACTTGAAGTACATATAAAAGACTCAGGTGTGTCTTGTTCATACACATCTGCCACACCATTTAGGTGTAGCAGATGTGTAAATTGAGAATATTGTCTCTGATGTAACCGTACCTATTAAGTCACACGTATAATGGGAAGCCACATGAATATATTCGTTTGTTGAGTACTGTGTATATGTATAAATTGTAGGAAAGCTATAGAGTTAGTTAAATATAGTGACAGTACGAAGTATAGACTAGGTATTTCGATATTAGTGCTACAAGATAAACGTACAAATGAATCAGTCTCAAACGTGCTCTTTATAGAATGTTTTGCTTGGTGTATTCCGTGTGAAGGAAAAAGTATATGTTGATAATGGTCTCGTAGAGACGTGGGTTTATTGCAACCAGAAGGCACAAGCTTGTAAAGCTAGCCTTGAGAGGGTTGCTAAGCCTAAAACGTAAAGCTCGTATAGCTTGTCTTCCTCTGCACGTAGTGCATAAATTAGCTTTGCTGCAAAAGATCGTCTTACACGTGATAGCACTGAAGGTAATCCCTCATGCGGGTCTGTCGACCTGACTATGAGCTTGCTTATCTCACTGCTGTGAGTTCGTCCGTAACGACTTGTATCCACATAGCGTATGCACGCGAAGAGGCATGTGATGCCATTCTTCAGGGCGCTGGGTAAAGCAGGGTTGAACCCTAGGTGAAGCTGTCACCACGTAATCGTACGCGATTACATCGCTACGCACTGACGGATGGTCGGTTGTACTATAGCACAGAATCTGATGACCAGCAACGTCTTTTGGCTC